GAAAAATAAAATTGTATCGGGTATACGCGCACCCCACGCTCGGTATTGCTGGCTCACACAAATATAGCTAATAAAAAGGAAAAAAAAATCTCATAGATTAATTTACTGTAATCCTGCCTAAAATAATTTCAAGTGCCGCGGCTATTGAGGATTCCCTCTTGTTTCTGTGGAATGAGGAGCAAATAGACCATTAACTTATATGTTCTAAATGTATGTAAATTTTACCCACATTAAAGAATAACAAACCTAGAAAATGTGTTTTAGTGTTTGATATATGTACTCAAGCTTTTGTTACGATATAACGCTATAACATTTCGAGTTTCAACAATCAATACTATGTAACACTGAAGTGGTTACACATTTCAACAGTTCATATTTAATAAACTACTTCACTTGAATATATAAACGGTTACTGAGCTGAAATAACTTTTATGGATTACCAGTCAATAAATTCTGTAACACTTTTTTACAGAGCAGGAAATTCGGAACAGTCAGTCAGAGATTATTGAAGATTGTTGTGCATGTGATGAAGCTAAATATGAAGTTGTATTTGAAGGTTTGTGGTCTCGACACACTCACCCTAAAGACTTTCCTTCTAGTAAGTATATATTTACTATATATTAAAAGGGTTTTGTTTCGAAAATAAATGTTTGAAAGCTTACGGTAATTATCAATATCGGAAAATAAAATTAACCCAGTAATGAATAGAGTTAATTTAATATAGTGGTCTTTCTAGGATTATAAATGCAAGAAGGTGTAATAGTGAGAATGCACTGACTTATCATTGTTATTAACAATAGTTTCGGCCGTAATCACAATAAGTACGGTAAACGCATTCCATAAATGCTTTATTCACGAGTACGCATTTAAAACACTTAGCTAAGTGCACACTTAGCACTTGTGTTCCAATAAGCAAAACTCTATATTCACACTACACATTTAAAACACTTAGCTAAGTGCACACTTAGCACTTCTGTTCCAATAAGCAAAACGCTATATTCACACTACACATTTAAAACACTTAGCTAAGTGCACACTTAGCACTTCTGTCCCAATAAGCAAAACGCTATATTCACACTACACATTTAAAACACTTAGCTAAGTGCACACTTAGCACTTCTGTTCCAATAAGCAAAACGCTATATTCACACTACACATTTAAAACACTTAGCTAAGTGCACACTTAGCACTTCTGTTCCAATAAGCAAAACGCTATATTCGCACTACACATTTAAAACACTTAGCTAAGTGCACACTTAGCACTTCTGTCCCAATAAGCAAAACGCTATATTCACACTACACATTTAAAACACTTAGCTAAGTGCACACTGAGAATTTCTCTTCAAATAGAAGTAAAATCTTGATTCCCGAGTACACAATTAAAGAACTTTATAGGTGAAATGGCAAGATATGCTTTATAATTATAAACATTTAATGCTACTTCGAACAAGTAAAGCAACTTTTAGAAGAAACATGAGAAAAGTTGTGTTACATTCGCAAAATATAGCGGAACGTCTACGTTAGAGTCTCCCATATAAAGTTGACAAAAGGTTTTTCATGTATTATTAGGAGTTTTATCAATTATTTAGCGATCTAACATTGTCAGAATTTTCTTGAATCATCTTGGGACTCATTTGGGGGAATCCGTATTAAAATTGTATCTTGCCAATTGGTCTTTACGTCTAGGAAACTCTTAAGAGTTCATGATAAACATGTCCGGAGAGTTTTTCTAGGAGTAAGTACTTCATCAAACATTCCTTTCAAAAATATTTCTGTAATGTACACTATGAAACCTTTCTTTGAACCCCAATTTTGGCAGGTATCTAAGTGCCCATAGTGATAAAATATTCTTATTTTCAATAAAATCGACTATCTCGCATCGGTTTCCAACTTCTTCTTGATTCAAGAAGTTAGGCATTCAAGAAGTTACCACATTCTCACCTCTACGAGGAAAATCAGGTTTTTTTAAAAAAAATATCTAAACAGTTCAAAGTGAGATACAGATATAGCGCTTGAAATACATTATTTAAATAAAAGTACACCTTAAAATTAACGCTTGACATACATTATTTAAATAAAAGTACACCTTAAAATCTAATTTTTAAGTAAGCACAACCTACTTGCTTCCCATGAAATTCGCTGAATCTGTTTTTTTTTCTTTATTTCGAGCATATAGTAATATTCAATGAAAACACAACACGTTTTGTTGCTTTTTACAATAACTTATCATATCTTTTTTAAAAGATATTTTTAATCAATATGTTTTTAAGTCTCTACGATACCGCAGTAGTTTGAATGACATCATTTAAGTACTTTTCTCAATTTTTTTAGTAACGACTCTCTAAGTTAGTGTTTTCTTATACATACAGATTTTTCATATTATTTTTAAATGCTATATTCTATAAAAAGCTCTCGTGACTCAAAAATATATTTAGTTTTTGTTTTGGTTATAAAATCAAATCGAATTAGTTAGAAAACTCTAGTATAGTTATTAAACTAACTGGCTGACTAGAAAATACGTTACTGGTTAGAAAACTACTGGCTGATGAGAAAAAACAACCAACGGATAACAAGGGACCATTTGGTCCTTCAGGGAGTGTCCTTGCAAACCCCCATCATGGAAGTCAGAATTTAAGCCCATCCTTTATTTTTCAGGAAATCAACTATTCCCCTCTTAAACTCTTATAAAGTGATAGTTTTACACTACTGTCAGCTCATTTCGTAACTGTGTTAACTGGAGCCTATCTCGACTTTTCTAAATCACAACCTTGTTTTTTTCTCATTATATTATCCTTAAAATACAGCACACGGAAATCAGAGGCCTGTATCGAACCCCAAGTAACCGTGTAAACGGCAATAAGATCACCCCGTACACTAATTTTCTCAAGATAATATAACTTGAGAGATATTAACTGTGTAGCTTTGCATTAAGAAAATAATACTAATATATAAAATAAAAGTTTAAACGAATTTTTTAGATAAACATAACAATAACTAAGAAAAATGAAGGAATACCGCCTCACAAACTATTTTGTTGAATAGGATTAAAATGTGTACAACAAATTAAAAACTAGAGATACAGGTCGATTTTTGCAAGGAGTCTTCCCAATGAAACACCTTATTCGATGTTAAAAGGTTCCAAGTTAAACTTCAGTTCACATACGTCTATATGTTAATCATCTTATTTGGTACTGATTTATTTCTTTACCATATCGCGTTTCAGTCAAGAACGTAATGAAAGCAACAAAAAATCTGTATTGTTGCTTTTGACTATTTCTACAAGATGCAAACACTTTCCAGTGTGGCGGAAATTAAACGTTCAGTTGATAAAGTGTAACCATTGTGTTCAATGGGACTTTTATATCAAAAAGGTTTAATGAAATGCGATTTATTTGTGTAACATAAGACACGTAATTCTTAAAATGAGAGGAATGTCTTTAGTTCTATTTCCTTATCACTGAAACTGAAACGTTTTTGTTGTTGTTGTTTTAGCATATATTGAATTAATTTATCGGAGCTTCTTGCTTACATAAAAATATTTCTAATAGTTTTCATTCGTCGCTATTCTTCGAGACGAGGCGTTCACACTAGTTAAAAAATTTGCAGAAGGAACGAACATATTGTTGAAGTAACGAAAAGGAATCATAGTAAAAGAACGCCTTGACTACACCAAACCACGTCATAGGAAATGTAGTAAACATGATTCTAAAGACCATTATTGAAATGAATATTTGTAATAAAATTAAACACCAGAAAAGACATGCTATCATGCTTCAAATGCTACTCAAAGAAACTTCAAACAATCTAGATAATTAATCTTGTAACCAAATTTCAACTTTACATTGCTGTTCAAAGATTCTTTGGTAATCTTTAAATAAAGTTTAAACTAAAACGTGCTTCACTTCTTTAATAAAAGTGTTTTAAAGTAAGTTTTTCTTCTGTATTTTTAGCAAAACAGTATCAATTTAACGTTTTACATGGCTATAGTTTTGTAACTTTTGCGAGGTTTATATAGTTATTTATCAAGGTATAGTGATAAATTAAGAACACATATTCTTTAAAAAAATCAAAACATCATTTAAGTTTCCATTATAAAATATGTGTATCGGGTTTATTTATCGCTTATGGAAATTATAAGATACCGAAGGTTATTTGTACACCAAACATTTTGATACTAAAACAGAGTACTTAGGCTGTGTTTTAGTCATGTCAGTTGTGCTTTTGGATTTCTGTATTTCTGTTTATTGTTATTTTTCTACTATTTTTTCTATGTATAGTCCCTAAACATACTTTATCTAATTTATATAGAAACACAATTTACGTATAAACACTTTATATCCAAACACAGCTTACATATAAACATTGTTTATTGAAAAACACAAGTTTGTATTATAATTTTTAACCGGTTAAAATGTTTGCATATAAGTTGATTTTTGACGTTAATAATACCAATAATTATAAGAAAAAACAAGAATAACACAAACATTGTTTGTCTTCCTTTAATTCTAACTAGTTCAATTTATGGTTGTGTTACAGATGAATGGCGAACGCAGTTCTTCGACATCATTGGTTCTTCACACACAGTTGACTTCCGTATGTGGGAATACGGTGGTTATGCTACTGAGGGTGTACGTCAGTTAGTGGAACTAGGATCACCCAAAAAGCTTGAATCTGAACTCAAGACTGAGGTATATTAGCCCCTCAAGTCATGTTGTAACAAACGTAAAAACTTTGACATGAAACAATGCATTTAAAATTACAACTGATTACTTGGTTACAATATCGCAACAACTTCCCTCGACCGTATATCTAGTTTCTGTATCTGTCTTATCTGTGGTTAGCTCAGGACTTGTAGTTTCTGCACATGATTTTTTCATAAGTCCTTTGTTTTTTTAATTATTGGTTTAGCTACTGCCTTCTTAGGAGTTCTATAAAAGTTGTAGAAAGGTTATTCCGAGTTACTAAGGTCGCTAAAAAGTTATTATTCTGGGTTTTCTCTTCAAGCAAAGTTGGTGATGAATAAGACCACAAAGAATATAAGCCCGAATAAATATTTTGCAACCCAAAAGGTTCAGTTATGAAAATTCCCACATTAAAATAAATTGTGGGCTTATTCTATTGTATTGGCTATATTTTATTCTGGTTTTAATGGCTAATAAAAATATGTTTGATTATCGATATTTCTCTAATCGTCAGATGAAGTTCACTATCTCTCTCTATATATATATATATGGGCTGAGTGAACGTGCCCGAACTGTGAATCTTAGGGTTCACGATTTGCATCCCGTTGCCGCAACGCACGTCCCAAGCTGTTTACAGTATAAGGCTAACGGTCAAATCGTACTATTCGGTCAGATAAGATTAGCCCAATAATTAGCAATTGACGCTGTAAGATAACTACATTCCCTAGTATATCAGTTCAGAATCAAATAGTCCTTATCTAGCTTTGAGGGATAATTCTAAAAAACAACAACAACAACAACAACAAAACACAACAAGTAATTATTAAATTAGTACCAGTAGTTATGAATACAAATTTGTATATAATGTATGGAATTATAGTATAAAAATATCCTATTTCTTTTCATGGAAAAACCACATTAAGTGTGTTTTATATCATAAAATATGTATGAATTTTTGATAATATTTCAGTCAAATGTTTACTACCCATTCATCATGTTTCTCTGCATAGTCAGAAAAAATCCGAACCATCATCAAAGCAAGGGGGCTACAGTATCCAAACTTAAACGGGAAAACGTTTGCCGTATTTCGAGTGGACAAAAGACACCACCTGATGTCACTACTGAGCAAGCTAAGCCCGAGTCCTGATTGGCTAGTCGGAGTTAGTGCTCTGGAGTTGTGCTTGAAGAACTGTTCCTGGGTGGCCAACAAAATTATGAACCTTTATCCTTGGGATGCCGGAATAAATGACGGACTATCCTATTTAGTAAGTTTAAAATTTGATCACTATTTCCTAAAGGATCTGTGAAAATAAATTCCTGTCATTTAATTATCAAATTTCTTAAACATTTCAAATGTAATTGCTTAGTGTATTTTACTGAATGTAGTGTATTTAATACGTTCACAATGAATTAAGTAGTTTTAACAATTTCTCAATGCCACAATGTTTTTACTTGACCATATTTTCAAAATAACTTCATTGTACGAGTGAAAAATGTTTTACAAAGTTGGTACTTTCAAAATCGAGACAGAAACAATTTTGAGGTTGGAACTGTCAGAATTATTTATAGATTGCAAAGTGATAATTAATTTCATATATTTTTCTGAATACATGTGTGCAACTATTAACAATACCGCATTAATCTGAGCAATGGGATTGATGTTTCTGACACAGTATAACTGTGACGGAGTGAGAGTCGAACCAAGGCTCTTCAACATCAAAAATAAAGGGTTGAATCTTGCTCTTATTTCCTTTTATATCCTTGCACATTTTAAAACAAAAATTAAAGTAAAATTAGTTATTTAAGTTTTAATTTTTATAAATATTAGCTTATATTAAACTATGTCTGCGGACTTACAACGGTAGAAACCGGGTTTCGATACCCGTGGTGGGCAGAACACAGATAGCCCATTGTGTAGCTTTGTGCTTAATTACAAACAAACAAATATATTAAACACATAGGTTGAGTAAACCTAAACTTCAATAATATTTAAATATTACAGAATTGGAGAAAAATCAAAGACAATTGGACGTTTCACAAAAACTTCGAATATTCACGACCATGGTTTCGCCAATAAAAGCATCATCAGGTACTTTAATGGCGAAACCAGATTCGTGAATAAATGAAGTTTTGTGAAACGTACAATTGTCTTTATTTTGTTCTTCAGTTCTGTAATTATGGAGTTTCATCATGTACTGACGGTTTCAAGTATCAGTATATATATATTTGATTATTTTCTGGGGCTATAGGCACATAACATTCCTTACTTTTGAGCTGATGCACTAAAGGCACGGCAGCTATCAAGAATACCCATCGCCAGCTCTTGGACTACTCTTATCTGACCAAGCAGTGGGATTTAACTATCATTATTACAGCCTACCTTCAGTACCACAGTGCGGAGTGTATTTTCATAGTAACGGGACGCGAACCCAAAACTTTTTGATCTACAGAACACGCTTATCAGAAGAAATTCGAAAAATAGCGATAGCAGGCATATTCTCATTGGTTACAGACAATACAATAACTTAACTTAAAATTTAGTTGTGTGTGTGAGAATTTTCATTACTAATCGTCAAGGTTTATATTCCTTGCAGTCTGATTCATCTCCAACATTACCTCAAGAGAGAATCAAGAGAATCACCTCTAGTGATCCTAGTAGCACAGAGTCACCTTTCTATGACCCTTCTGGAACTCCCATGAAACCAGTAGCAAGACTAATAATTACGCGACAAAGGATTTATGAAAAACCATGTGAAGAACCTTCTAGTCCTGAACCAACCACATATGAGACAAATACTGAAACTGAATATGAACAGGGTAAGTTTTAGTAATTCACTATTAGATAGACCAAAGAAATCAAATAATTTTATTTCTTGAGTCATGAAGCTTATGATATACATACCTGTCTGTTACGAGTGGGTCATTGAGCTCATGATACATATATCTTTCTGTTACAAAATCATGGAGCTCATGATATATATATCTTTCTGTTACAAAATCATGGAGCTCATGATATATATATATATATCTTTCTGTTACAAAATCATGGAGCTCATGATATATAAGTCTTTCTCTTACGACTGAGTCATGGAACTCATGATATACATACCTGTCTGTTACGAGATTTCATATATCTGTATGTTTTGTTTACGTTTTGTTTTTATATTTATTGTTAGTTTAGACATATACAGTACAATGTTTTTTTATCTTTATTAAAGTAAATTATTTCCACTATTTAAAATGCAAGTGTGTATATATATTCTTCTAATTTTTATATGATTTGGTAAAAAGCAACAAACAGCAGAAATGCAATATTTTGTAGTAGATATTTATGACTAAGACCGTTAAAATTTACGATTTGTCTTTGTCTGTCCATCCACCCACATTCTTTTCTAGAAAATGCACAGGTAAGCATTTCGTTGACGATTTTCGAATAAGTTATCAATCGACATACCTTACAGTGTAATAGATACAGTTAGATTCTAGGTTTTACCTTGAAAGATATTTCTAACTAGTGTTCCTACTTGCACTGACAGATACGTTATACTACATTTGTCTTTACCGCAGGGGTCAAACTGGGGCTGAAAAGTCCGGAACAGAGTTCCGTTTCTTAAGGATTCCCGGCCTTCTGTTTGGAATGTAAAACTAGATCATAAAAAATGGTTCTAACTTTTTCAAAATCCCAATTTAACCATTGCTTTAATAAAAACGTTTTCAAACCATTACTTGAAATTCAAATTCTAAAAGTGCTTTGAGAGGAGTTGTTCAACACAAACACGTGTTTTTGTTATTTGATAGGAAGAATAACTTTAAACAAATCGGGTGGAGTGCCAGCTAAATCTTGCCTTCAAAAGTTTCAGTTGGACACTAGTCGTTTAAACATTCTCTCTTACGTCGTTAATACTGGTGTGAGCTCTAAAACATTTTATATCTTTTACTGAAAACTTACCACCTTAGCATATTAATGTTACTACTTGTTTTATATTGAATAACAAATTGTCGTTTATTGTTTCAAAATAACTTCAGGAGAAACGATAAACTGAAGCCCATTAAATAGCATCCTTAACCTCCCGTTGCGTTTTGAATATGTGCCTAGAAAAAGTAAAACCGCGTGTTGCATTGTTGAATGTGTAACTAGAAAAATAAATCGCGTGTTGCATTGTTGAATGTGTAACTAGAAAAATAAACCGCGTGTTGCATTGTTGAATGTGTAACGAGAAAAATAAACCGCGTGTTGCATTGTTGAATGTGTAACTAGAAAAATAAATCGCGTGTTGCATTGTTGAATGTGTAACTAGAAAAATAAACCGCGTGTTGCATTGTTGAATGTGTAACTAGAAAAATAAATCGCGTGTTGCATTGTTGAATGTGTAACTAGAAAAATAAATCGCGTGTTGCATTGTTGAATGTGTAACTAGAAAAATAAACCGAGTGTTGCATTGTTGAATGTGTGACTAGAAAAATAAACCGAGTGTTGCATTGTTGAATGTGTGCTTAAAAATTAACCGAGTGTTGCATTGATGACTGTGTGATTAAGAAAGATGAACCGATTGTTGCATTGTTGAATGTGTGACTAGAAAAATAAACCGAGTGTTGCATTGTTGAATGTGTGCTTAAAAATTAACCGAGTGTTGCATTGTTGACTGTGTGATTAAGAAAGATGAACCGATTGTTGCATTGTTTACTGTGTGCTTAAGAAAATGAACCGATTGTTGCATTGTTGACTGTGTGCTTAAGAAAATGAACCGAGTGTTGCATTGTTGACTGTGTGCTTGGGAAAATGAACCGTGTACTGCATTGTTGCATATGTACTTAAGAAAATGCGCCAAATGTTATTCCTAATTCAGCGACTTGCTTTTCTAAACTTTTTTGGGAAGCTGTGTAAGATCAAGGTTTTGTAATTTTATTTTCATATCAATAAAGCATTTTGTTTTCGATAAAAATAATATAAATTGTAGTTTTGAAAGGATTAGAGCTTCGAGATGCGAAACTTTTATATTATTTCATTCATTGTTCATGTAAAAAAAATCTTGTATACATAACAATAAGATGTTTATTAGAGTGCCTTCTTTAAAACATTGTTTAGAATATTTGAAATGCACTAATATTGTTCTACCGATTGTACTTAAAATGCACTGTTACTGTTTATACTGACAATTTACTGTTCTGCATTCAAAAGCACTTAGAGTGCACACAAGTTCCAAAAATACTTTATAAAACAAGTGCAGGTCTGCTAAAGCAGTTTATGAAATAAATGTATATGTTGTAAAGCATTTCTTAGTAGTGGCAAATGTGCTTTATTGGATTTCATAAAATACTTGAAAGTGTGTTCCTTAGTATGGAATATATCTTTTTTGCACTTGTGTTTACATTCACAATGAATGGTAAAAGTTTTTTGGTGATAAACATATGCATGCGTTTGTAAAATTAATATTTCTCATATCTCTGTCTCGGTTTTTAGCTCAGGAATAAAACTGGAGTGTCTGTATTTGGAGGCGGCCATCCAATGAGTTCATTTTAAAATTACATTCGTGTTGAGAACA